AGGGAGGTGAAAGGGGAGCCACAGCAGGGAGCTACAGGGCACTGGGAGCCCCAGCATAGCCTGCAGGAGTTCTGAAGCTGAGCAGGGCAGGGAAGCTGGGCCTCTGCAGAGGATGAGTGCTCAAGGCTGGGGGGGCTCAAGTGGGTCAGCAACAGTGCAGGGTGGGAAGTGACAGGGTCTGGCCATGGCCTCCTGGGGGGCACTGATGCCAACAAGGACTCCAAACCAGGGTGCTGGGCTGGGTTTCGGCTGTGCAGAGCTCAGGCAGGGAGTGCTCAGCAAGTGGGTCTACACGGCGAGATGGGACATGGGTGGGCAAGACATGCAGGTGAGACTGAGCGTGCCGAGCAGGGGGACCCTGAGGGAGGAGGCGGGGTGGGGAGTGGGAAGAGGCTGGAGCGTCCCAAGGGTCATGCAGGTGAGGGAGAGCCCTGCCAGCAAGAGCTGCCCTGGGGGCAAAACAGCCCGGGTCCCTGGGGGGTGCAGGCCAACAGCAGCTGGCAGCAAGCAAGGGTTATGGAGCAAACAAGAGGGAGCAGAGAAAGACGCAGGGACTGGCACTTTGGAGGGCAGCGTGCACAGGTGTGGGGCTGGGGGGGCATGTTGGGAGGGAGAGTGTGGGCAAGGACTGCGGGAGGAAGGGGCGTTACAGGGGGCCTGGGGCTGAAGCAGAGGTGAGGGAAAAGGGGCAGCTGCGAGGGGGCTGGGGATCAGTGAAGAGGAAGGAGGGAGCTATGCGAGGGGGCTGGGGGAGGAGCGGAGCATGGGGGGAGAGGAGCGCGAGGGGCTGGGGCCTCTCGGCTGCAGTGGAAAAGCTGCTGCAGCTCCAGGGGAAATGCTACTTGAATTAATCATGGCGCTGGCTGCTGTGCCAAGCCCAGGAGGAGGCTGCTGGCAGCGCAAGGAAATAACTTTCACAGGAATTTGGAACAAATGCAGCTCTTCTGGCGGTAACAACAGCGCTCACCTCCCCCACAACCTCCCCATGTACCAGCATCTCCCCCATGTCCCCACTCCTTGTGTACCCCAGACTCTCTGCATTACAGCCTGCTCTCCCGAAGTTTGCTGCACTCCCTCCCCTCACACTGCTCCCCAGCAAGCTCACCGGCGTCTCCCCATCTTGCCTCAGGAAGCTTCCCTCCTTGCTTCTGAGGAGGGGGAGGCCTGTTTTATGTCGTGCAAAGGTCTGAAAATAGGTTAATGCTAAATGCCTTGTCCCAAGAAAATGAATGCATGTAGTAATGTCCTCCCCACCGCCCGCCACTCTCTTTGGCATCAAAGTCGGTGAGCATTAGTCCTCTTGCTGTTCAGTCCCCAACGCACAGCAAGCCCCCATGCCCTCTCACAGCTGCCCCCTTCAGCAGCATAACCACATCAGGTTTACCTGTCAAGACCCTCTGTCAGTAACGCAGTATAGGTGGCCTGGTCCAGCCTACAGCACTTCCTGCAGGGCTTTCTATCTGGGGCACAGCCCAAGAGGCTGTCCCAGTGCCGTGCATGCAGCACTGCCAGTCCCGCAGAATCACAAATCAGTACTCAAACTTCAAAGGTCATCAGATTTGTCCTCAAAACTGCAAGATAAGATTATACTGTAGGTGTGTTGCTGGTCAGCTTTTGATTTCTGACGTTCTTGTTCCCCAGCAACTGTATGTATGAACGCAAAGGGAATATGTAAACCCTGGTTCCAAAATCATGAATACTGGATCTATGCAAGAATCAATAATCCACCATCTCATCTCACCGCATCGCATCACATCTCATCTCATCTCATTCACATTTCTGTAAAATCAGTCTGTGCTCACAACATGGGGTTTACCCAGCTCTCTGTGCCTTATGCTGGCTGCCAGAGGACAGACAATACTTGATTTAGCATGAAAAGTTAGAAAGGCCCAGAAAGACAATATCTGACCATGCATGCAGCTTGCTGGTACAAAGTCAAATGTTTAAAACAAATTTAAGCCAGCAGGGTGAATTTATACCAGAACAGTACTTCACATCATGTAACCCTAGCATTTGAATGTAGTCCGATGAGCCCTAAAGCTTCTATATTATCAACTCACGGCCACAGAGGGAAACAGACACAACCGGTTAGCGACTATCCCTTGCTCTATTTTCTGCTGGTGTTGTGCTCACTGATTCCCTGGGCTCCTTCTCCACTGGTGTTTCTCTCTCATCTCAGACTTGAACTGTGACTTTGCTATTTCCTTCGCTTAGTGCTCATGCAAAGTCTACTACTGTGGGACCCGGCCCATGATAAACACGAGTAATAAATAAGGAAGATGTTACAAGATCCTTTTTCTTTCTCAGGAGCTCAGGCCAGCAACCTGCTCTGCTCGTCCCTGTACTTCAAAGACAAAGACTGACCTGGCAGAGAGGATGGGGTGTGCAAGAGAGCAGGAGACCAGCAGCCACTCCTCAGGTCTATTCTGGTCACACAAACATACTCCCTACTTCCCCACGGAGAAGTTCTGTCCTGCCCATGGAGAGCAGATGTCATGATCTGAAAATAGACCTGGTCCTCCCAGGGTTTTTTGCTTAGAAATATGGCAGTCCGATGGAGAATCGAACCCATTAAGTTCCGTGCTGACCTTGGAGGCTGTCCTGTGTCCTGCATGGCCTAAGCTCTCATGACCATTATGCAGGTCTGGACCAAATCCAGGCCTTGACAAGAGACCCTTTAACCTCCCAAGGCAGGATGAGCCCTGATGCCTAGAAGCCGCAGACAGATGGGGTCAAGCTGGAGCAATTGTACACAGGGGCTGTGGAGCAGCACACCTGACATGGGCTGACCCCATGGGACACAGTGCTGGCTGCTGGCCACTGTGGACCCTCTCAGCACCTCCGAAGCCCTCCTGTCTGGGGCAACAGGCATGTCGTGGCTGAGGGGTAGCCACACCGGGCAGCTGCGCTCTGAGACCGGGGCTCCCTGCCCCAGCTCTACCCAGCTCACCGACCTGGCTCGCTCCTGCTGCGGCCCAGTGCCGAGCCGGCAGCCTGGCCAGCCTCCTTTCCCATCCTCTCACGTTTCCCGGCTCAGAGGAAGCAGCAGCAGATGTGTGAGCTGTTTGCTTTGTGCCGAGGCCACGCGGGAGTTACCTGCGCTCAGCCCAGACGCGCCGTTTCCAAACGAAACATGAGGGCTGAGCCAAGACCATCGAAATCTGGCCAAACCCTCTGTTGCTGCCGTCCGCCAGGCCAGCACCTTCCCTGTGCAGCGTGGAGCTGGGCTCGCCCCTGCACTGCGCTACACTAGTCTCACCATGGCCAGGCAGCCACGTGCTGGACCAGCTTCTCTGTGCCATCCCCATGGCCCCGCACTGCTCCAGCTCCTCCACAGGTCCCTCTCTCTCTACTGCCTGTCCCCGCACTAGCAGTCAGGAGCCCAGCC